ACACACACACACACACACACACACACACACACACACACACACACACAGACACACACGCACACACACACACACGCAAAGGATTACAACCAGACGGGTCAATTATCCCAGCTGAGCAGCTCTCCACTGGGCCGTGATAAAACCGCACAATTAGGGAGCTTCGCCCAAACTACCCGACCTCGAGCTGATATCCGACCCGCATCACGTGAAGCCGGCAGGCTCCGGTCGGCCGGCGCTGTCCGGTGGCCGCCCGGTGGCCGCCCGGTGGCCCTCTAATCCAGCCCCACTGCCGTCTCGCCCCCGTCTGCCCGCACAGCGTCCGTCGGCCATTTATTGTCGCCACTTTTTCTGGCCCCGACACAGAAGGACGATTCCTGCACGGTTAGTCCGGCCTACAAAGGCCTGATTGATTTTCCAAATGGGGGAGACGGGCTTCGGTGAGCTAAACAGCAGAGCCGTTCAAATAGCAGAAAGCATCTGAGGTGAGGGCAGCCCTGCAGGGGTCTGGCACCGGCTTCCCCCCCCCTCAGCCAGGATCGCTCGGATTTTAATGAAGTCCCTTTGAATGAAGTGGACGGAGCGCAGCCATGTGAACTGTGGTCATATGCTTTTCAGATTCCTCACCTACTGCCCCAGTAAGAGGATCATATCGGACGAGGCTCTGAAGCACGTGTACTTCGGAGAGACGCCGCTCCCCATCGACCCCTCCATGTTCCCCACTTGGCCGGCCAAGAGCGAGCAGCAGAGGGTGAAGAGAGGCACCAGTCCCCGTCCACCCGAGGGAGGCCTTGCCTACAGTCACCTGGTAAGGACATTAGGCTCCACTTTCTCCATTACATACGGCTACCAGGCTTTTCTGCGTACTGTGTGCTAAATAGATCACAGGCCTACAGACTTCTGCTTTGTGTCAGAGTATTTCCTCTTTGTGTTTTCCAAGATGAGCCCCCTTAAGTTCCCTAATGTTTTCAGCAGCGGTCTCCCTCCCGCCCCACGGCCTTCGGTTTAATACTGATATTTTTCAGCAGAAGTGTCAAATATTTCTCGTTTTTCCGCGCAAGCCGGCCCACGAGGACGCGGTTAAAGGTTGTCCTGGCATTTTTCACTCTCGTCACGGTAGAAAAACCAAAACTGAAAAGCTCAGAAAAATAATCGTTTTCATTTCGACGCATTCTCATGTGGAATAACAATCATACGGTTACAAAACTCAGGTTTGGGGTTTTTTTCCAGTACAATATTTATCAGCTTTGCCGCCAGCTTATCTTGCTGCCATTCTCCCCGCAGGGCGATGACGATCTGAAGGACACGGGCTTCCACCTGACCACCAGCAACCAGGGAGCCTCCGCCGTCGGCCCCGGATTCAGCCTCAAATTCTGAGCCCCAAGCTGCCGGACACGTGGATCTATCCCAGGGAAGGCTGGAGAAAAAGAGTTTCGGGGGCCGCTTCACAGCTTATCGGACGGATCAACAGCAACCGTTACCAAACAGTCAGGACTGTCTGAACAGCAAGACTGGTGGCTCAAACGCCTTGAATTTCGGCCGCCTCTCTGTATTTTTTTTAAGCCATTTTCAATGAGACCGTTGCGGCTCCTCAGGAGAAGGCAACCATAAATCTGTTAGACTTTAGCTCTCATGTTTGACTTCTGTTTTATTTTCTTTCTTATACTTCATGAGCGAGGACCAGATTTCATAGATGGTTGGTATTTCCTGGCTGTCTGAGCTACTGTATAATGATGCAGCGTTGGCTGGGTTCCTTTCAACATTCAACAAAATGTTGTAGAGTCACTTGGAAATGTCAGCTCACGTGATGACAGGCAGACGGTGTTTTTGCTAGAAATAAAGTTTGAAACTTTGCTTTGTCTACGATTTTCTCAGTATTTATAAAGTCTGTCCATGCTATGCAAACACAACTGCAAAACTGGCAGGGGAAAAAAAAAAAAAAAAAAAAATGAGGGGAAGTAGAGCCTGAATGAAATCCAGCCCTCATCTAAACTCGGTAGTCCCTGTCCAAGAGTGATGTCATCCGCAGCGCTGCACCCTTTGTCATAATACTTTGTTCTTTCAGGGGGAAAAGAGGCCCAGACGTTGCTCTGCCTTTGTTTCTAAATGACTTTACGGCATCTGAATTAAACCAATAAATTCTCTGATTGTGAGCCAAAGCTAAATAAATAGTGCAGCTCAGCTCCCTGCAAGACCACACGGCACTCGCGCTGCGCCGGGCCCAGAGGAGCTCCTCGTGTCCCGGGGCTTCTACAGCCAGCACTAAGTGGAAATATTCATTAATCAGTTTTATATGTCCCCCTACCCCCGCAGGAGCCCCTTCTGCAGATTATTACACCTGATGTGTTGAGTAAGCTTGGAAAGAGCCGCTGGTAGGACTGACTGCCCGGGATCTGGAGGCAGACTGCTGGCTTCACTGTTAAGCTAGTAAAGTGAGCTAGACGTCTGAGGTGCTCCATGTGCTCTTTAAAGGTCCAGATAGACTGGAAGGCTGCAGACAACATTGCCTTTTCTGGCTTTCTCGGTTTCGATCGCTGAGTAAATCATCCACGTTTCCCGCACCTGAGGACGGCCCTCTGTAAGGCCTTCGCTTCCTTAAACAAAGACCATTGGAGACGTGGGTTTATTTTTTATTTCTTTTATTTGAGATGACAAATTCGGGGACTAATTTAGTTGAGCTCTCCTCCCGGATCAACTTTTCCAGTGGTACCAAATTAGTTCGACCAGTATGAAATGAGCTTAAACAGACTATATGTAAAAAAAAGACATTGATTATAACACTTTGTAACTAAATGAACTCCGCTCTTCTCAGGCTCCCCCCTTGCATCCAGGGGTGACCTCTGACCTCAGGGCTCTTTTAGCAGCAAGATCCTGGAAGAAGTCCCGATTGGGCGAAGGCACAGAAGATGTACTTATCCCAAAACAGCTGTCCGGATCTGCTCAGTCAAATAAAAAATGCAAACCTCCCGGTCTGCCTTGAACAGCTTTTCACATTCAGGTGGAGCGTTTTCTGCACCAGCACCGCCTCTGACCGAGCGTCCGTGACATTTGCATTAAAAAATGGGTCAACAGTAGATAATGCTATGCGAATGATACAATAAAAGGGGATGGAGAAAAAAAACGACAAAAACTGAAATATGTGCCCTGTTTGTGTCCTGTTCGGCATGCAGGGGAGCTGACGGGGCCCTCAGAAGCGCACGCGTACCCTCCAGGAGTAGTTGGTGAGAACTTTGTCCTTTTTCCGCACGACGCAGGTGTACAGGCCCTCGTTGATGGCGTTGGCCACTATGGTGATGTGGTCGTCTTTCAGGGAGATGTAGTTGGGGCGGGAGTACTCCAGCAGCTCGCCGTCTTTGTACCAGCTGCAACGGGAGTCAGAATTCAGACGACGTTCAATGCAACGCGGCGGCGCAGACAGAGGAAAGAAAAAAAAAAGGAAGGGGGGACACTTACTATACTTTGCCTCTCCTGGACGCAATCTTTTTCCCGCAACGAAAAGTCAGCTTCTTGCCCTCGATGACCAGCTTGTGTTTGGTCCTCGGAGGAGTCGGCGTCGGAGGGGCCGTGGGGAACGGGAACTCTGAGGAGGATTTCCATGGAAAAACTGTCAACAGGTGCGCCGCAAAAACCAAAGATGGCGGCTTACTGGTCCTAAAAGATGCTTTTAACTACTCAGTTAACATCAACGAGGGGTAGAGCAGCTCCTAGAGAGATGAGCTTGCCTTGTACAACAGTGTCTGTAAACAGTGGGTTGGTTTAAAACGCTGGAAGCAAACCTTATCACCTCAGACTCTGATCACGCGCCACGGCTGACCCGTTACTGTAATCTCTCCCATCTGGTTTCTGACAAACACGACGGGCCGGCCTGCGATCGGCTCGCAGTCTGCCTAAGGAGCAGCCATTCTCGTTAATGCCGCAAAAATCCAAATTGACCTTGTGTGTCTCTAACCCTCAAGCCACAGTCTGAAATTCCAGCGGTTTGGAGTCACTTAGGAATTTTCCACAGCCGTACAACGTCTCCCAATCAACAATGAGGAACAGATTACCGCGAGCCAGGAATCGTATCATCATGTGTCTCTCCTTCGCTGTCCCCTGTTGCCGACTAAAAAAAATCTACGAAAGCCGCAACAATCTATGGGCTGCGATAGTTAGGAGGAGACATTTCCTGTTGTGCAACAGGGGGAGCATCCCACTGCAGCCCTACAGAGGCGTAGGCCTAAGGCCTGCCGGAGCCTTACTGTAAAGCAGGTCTCATTAAATCAGCCACCGGCAGGTACCGAGCCTCCCCGGAAACACTTCTGCTGTTGCTGTTTTCCACCAGGAACAACATTAAACTCCTCCCGTAGACAATGTAATCTCCCCCTCAGATCAGATTCTTGAAAGCCTCCATCACAACTCTGTGTGGCTGGACCTGTTGGCTCCCGTTGCTCCATTGGCAAACGGTTCACAGCAGCTCCCTCGCGCTGCTCACTGGAGTGAAAACTTTCTCTTTTTCTTTTTTTTCTTTCCTTTTTTTTTTTTCTTCTTCCCCCTGCTGCTGCTTTCCGCTGCCTTACCGTAACAGAAATCGCAGCTGGAGGGGCAGTGCTTCTGCATCAGCCTGCGCTTGCTGTCGCAATAGCCTTTCCGAGCCCAGGCAGGACAGATAAATAACCGGTCCAAACATCCTGGAAGAGAAAAAGGGGGGGGGGGGGGAGATGGAGTGAGCAGGAGGAGGACCAGACAGCAGTTTCTCAGTCAGCAGCAAAAAAAAAAGAATCTGGATCCCCGCGCCGCTGCTCGCCGCCAGCCAAAATGACTCACTTTAATACACGCTAATGATGAGTCATGAGTAGTTTATACAGTGTTCATTAATGCCACGTTGGCATTCAGCGTCGGCCGTCAAACACAAACACTGCGGTCTGAATTCTTCTACGCTCCCACCAAAAAAAAAAAAAAAAAAAAAATGAATCACAGATTTTGTGGAGCTGCTTCCTCACAAGTGTATACAGAAAATCTAATTCCTCTAATGCCAGGATCAGGCCGCACAATGTGTTTGCACTTTGGGATAATCACTGTGTCAGATCACAACGTCACTTGGATACTCAGATTCTTGCCCCGACTTGGCCCGCAGTGCTGCGCGTTGGACTGCAACTCACATGCGCCGGCCATCTCTCATGACAGCTGATTGGGCATTTGGACCTTTCTTTGCTGTATGTAAGCATGTTTGGCAACCCAGTCATGGGATAGTTTGCAAAAGTTCTCAGACCAGGTGGAAGACATGGTCCAAAAGTTAATGCAACTATCGGAGATTTGTTCCTTTTTTTTGTTTCAGACGCCCCAGATCTGTCAAGTTGGGCCATCGCGTAATCTGATGAGAGAGGGAGAACTAGAACCCCCTTTAGCTTGTATTATTTCAAGAGCATTTTGGATGAATAATGTGTTATCCCGACCCCGTGAGTTCCAATTCCTCCCGTGTCTCTTTATGCAAACCAAAAAAAAAAGAGCAAGTACTGAGAGGAAGGTGAGGACGTACCGTAGAGACGGTGCAAACCCCAAACCTCATCCTGCGTGATGCGCTTGCGGCCCGTCAGCGTTGCGTTCAAGTGCATTATCGCTTTGGGGTCCATGGAGTGCATGAGTCCGAGCACGTGGCCGATTTCGTGAGTGGCCACGTGGACGAGATCGGTCAGCCAAACCCCTGCAACAGAGAGGAAAAAGCTGGTTAGTTCCCATGGTTCGGATACATCTGGGGGGGGGGGGGGGGGGGGGGGCGAAGGCGCGTGCCTCTCTTCCAGCTGAAGCGCATGTCTCCCAGAATCCAGTATTCGTGGTCGTCGAAGTGGATCTCGCCGGTCGGCGGGAAGAAGGCGTGAGCCAGCTCCCCCGTGATGCCGTCGAAGCAGTGGTGCAGGTAGGACTGCCAACAGTCCGTGTGGTTGACCGGGTAGAAGCCTGCCGGGGGACACAGCAAAGACGCACACCTCAAAACCCAGAAGGGAGGTCCCTCGCTGCCTTATCTCTGCCTCACGATTCATCACAAAAGACAGAGGGGGCCGTTCGCCAAGTCGGGATGATTCACGGAGGACCTTCGGGGTCCCCTCAGGGGCCAGGGATAAAGAAGCCCCACTCCACATATGGAAGCTGTCAGGCCTTTGCTTTTTTTTTTCTTGTTCGGAATTATGAATCATGCTGTGAGTGTGAGTCTGATAGTGTACAGTAGTGTGATTTAATGAGCCGGAGGCAAGAGACATTTCAGCGATGACAGCATGGAGAGAGAAACGGTAACGACAGAGCAGAAGTCTGGAGGTTCCCGGCCAAGGAACATCTGTCGGAGGGGGGTTAGGGGGAATGGTCCACCCACCGATCTTGATGTCGGCCTCCTCGTCGGCCGGAACCTCCCGGAAGGTGAAGGGCGACACGTCGCTCCACATGGCGAAGGCCTTGGCGATGCCCCGCCGCGTGTCGCTGGCGTTGATCAGGTTGGTGGGGAAGGAGAGCAACCTGTGGGGAAAAAAAAAGCAGCGGCGACAGCAGCAGCATTGCGCGTTGCTCAGTTTTTGGGTTTTTTTTTTTTTTGCGCGCGCATTCCTGCACAAGCGGAGGCATCTGCCAAGAGGCGATGGCTACTGTTCAGACACACAAGAAATCCCACAAGCACTGCGAGCACAGCTCTATTACGGAGGCTTCGTGTTCCTCGGCCAGAGTCACGCTTCGGGCCGAGGCTTTTAATGAAGTTTATCTCTTAATCAGCCGGCACCGCCGCTTTCTCTCGAATTCGAGAGCAATTTAAAAATGTGGCTAATCGGTGTCTGCTGTCCACTGTCAAGCTGTTGGATTACCAAAGCTCGGTAAGTGAGGCTCTGTGGGCCAAACGAATGAGTCCTACTGAAGCCTTTATGGGATCATTTCACAGCTCCAGAGAGACGGAAATCGTTAGTTTTTTTTTTTTTCAAGAAAGGTTAATGTGGTGGTGTTCGGGCTGCTGCGAGCCAAAGCCACTGCAGTGCGAAGCAGAGATCTCCTGTGTGCTTTTTCATCCCCCTGTTCTCCACAGCGATCGTATTCTGATGATGGCTTCCACCAACATCTGGTAGACAACATTTAATGTGTTTGGATGGCATGAGAACAGGGTGCATTTTCTCTCCATTTAAATATTTTTAAAAAAGCCTTGAAAGCTGTTCAGCAGAGTGGAAAAAGAGACTGTGAGCAAATACTTGTATGTGAGCTTGAACTTGTCCCATTTGAGCTGCTCTGGGGTCAGGGTGTAACGCTTGTTCCTGGAGAGGTGGAGCACTTGTGAGCGGGCCTCTTTGCGGATCCCGATGAGCAGAACAGTGGTGTGAGCTTCTTCCTTGGACAAAGCAAAAACCTTTAATGATTCACCTCACAGTGTCAAGTATGGTCAAGTATGCCTCTCTTCTCATGGAAAGTTCTAAGGCACAGTTTGGGCTTCCAAATGGATTCTGAACTAAATCCCTCAGTTCTGTCGGGTCTAACCTTTGTAGCCTCAGGTGTGAGACGCCGTTTGTTTTGTTTTTACAGCTCCTGTTTCAGTGTTTCGCCCCGGAAAGTTTGGATTTTTAAACAAAGACATTCCACCTAAAGGAAAGCGGCAGTGGTCTGCTTTAAAGATGGTTTAACAATATTAGCTATGAGTCTCTTCACAGATCCACTGTGGCTGACCCTATCTCCTAGGGGGAAGTGGAATATCAGCCCCAGATAATCACATCTGGATAATCACATCTGGATTCTGCACTCCTTTACGGTTTTAAAGGCCGTCTCTGTGCTTTGCTTTCAAGCGACATCATAAATACCCTCCGAACTGAAGTCAAAACCGGGGTTCCCCGTGAACGCAATATTCAAAGGTAGATAAATCGGTTGATAAATCTATAACTTTTTATGGAGATGGCTTTAAGTAATAAATCCCCCTTTCAACACTTGAAGAGAGGCCATGATTCTGACCCAAGAAGCCTGTTCTGTGCTGTACAACAGGAATGTGTCTTGTCCTGTCGGTTGACTGATGACCACCATAATGGACCTATCAGAGTAACAAATTGGATTGGCGTTCGTTTTAGTGATATACTCAAACCTTCGACATCCAGACTAAATTATGAAAAAAAAAAACAAGCCTAATGCTCGCAGGGGTGGAGGCGCATTGTGTCTTGATGGAGATTTGTGTGTCAGGATATTCTGCCTGTCAGTGCCAGCTTTGACCTGTTTCTTTACACACTGGGAAGAAAACAAGAACGCAGTGATTTATTGGAACATCTGCAAATATAAATGGAAAAAACGAGCATCAACAAAGTTTGTGCAATTCAGTATTTGTTGTGAGCGTCTTTTTGTTTCAGAGAGTAGCCTGAGCCCTCTTAAAACAGGCTTCCTAATCACTTCTTTAAGCTGTCTTGGGGAATAGTTCTCCGGGCTTCTTGAAGGACATCCCAAAGCTCTTCTTTGGATGTCGGCTGCCTTTTGTTCCGCTCTCTCTCTCACTCTGCTCCAGTAATGTTGAGGTCCGGGCTCTGGGGAGGATCCATCCCTCCCTCAGACCTGCTGCCACTGATTCTCACTCCCCTTCTTGTTTCATTTGGCATGGCTCAATCTTTTCTCCCCTGTTTCCCTTCCCCTTCTTGACAGTCGCCCTTCCCTTTCGCTGTTGGTTGATTAGCCTCAACTATCAGTCGACGGCTCGGCTGAAGGTCCACATGCATCTCTCGGATTGCCTCTCAGGATTTTTTTTAGTCAGATGCTGTTAATCTATTCTAGAGTGGTTTTAGTTTTTTTCAATTTGCCCTCCACTCGTACAGTTTACTCAAATATTTTAAGGACACTGCACACAATGCTGGGATAGGTCAAGTTTTCAGTTGGAAACATCTTGACTGCACAAACACTATCTTAATGTGTATATATTTGTAATTGGGTGCGTCCAAAGAAATGGGAAGAAGCTCTATTTGTACAACTGACTTGACCTGAGGATCCACTATAAAATAGGTTACTGTACAAGTTGCCACAAAACAATGGCTCATCCTTTGAATTCTTTGTGACTGAATCACTCAAAAGACAGTATTAAGGGGCTTTTTTCCTCTGAAAATGGTCGGGTACAGGGACTAAAGTGAGACTGAATGAAAAAGCAGCCAAAGAAAAACCTTGAAAGGCCTTTAGAGAGCCTGGAGAGCTATTGCACTGAGGCACATTAAAGTCTGGCTCTTTGGAAGAAAAATATAAAGAAATCAGGGCCGGTACCAGACTTCTGCACTTCGCTGCAGATTGAAAAATACACAGGCAGACAGTATAATAACTTAAGAGCCCATTGTTTCGACTCCCCGCCATATCTCACTGACGGTATATTCAGAAGGTTTTCCGACCCTTTAAAGTTTTCCACTCTCCTATAGCTCAAACTGAGCGCCCTGTCTGGTGTCCATCTGTGCCCTTGAATACACTGATCACGATCACAGCTAAACACAAATGTCAATCTAAGATCTCCCACTCAGTCGTGTTTATTGGAGTGAAAAACAAGCCAATGGGTTATTAGAGGAGTCTGAGCAGCTGCTGAACAGCGTCATGTCAAGGCACCGATCTGGAGAAGGATACAAAAAAAAAAAAGTCCTTTTAAGTGTCCAAAGGAAAAATAGCTTCCACCTGCTTCTTCTTTAAAGGGCTTTAACAGAACTGGAAATGTGCGCACTACGTTTAGCTGTAAAAGTGCCACCGTGAAGCTTCGGGAGGAAGGTCCAGGACCCTTCCTGAGAAGACTCCAAAGGGTCTGAAAACAAAACAAAAAAGGCAGCAGACTGCCGCCTCGTTCTTTATTCTGTTCCGACGAAAGAACTTTGAAACGTGCCCCATATAAATCCACGCTTGATCACAGACGATTTGGAATCAGTATCGCCCATAGAGGTAGAATCTGTTCATTTTTTGAACAGATTAAACACTTGAAGAGAAAAAAAAAGGCTGCTCTAAGCTTTACAACAGGAATGTGTCTTGTCCTGTCTGTTGACTAATGAACTCTCGAGCCGACCTTTCAGAGGAACTTTGATATCCTTTGCTTTCTTTGCTCCCTGACGGTCCTTTGGGGACCGGAGGGGCAGCACAAGAGGAAGCCATGAGCTCCTGCCCAGACTTTCAACTTCTCTCCCCTCACATGACTGCAACGTTTGGGTTGAGAGACTTATGCCATGGCGACTCGCGCCCTTCTTTGAACGCTGACCGTTTGTTGTTTGGGACGTTTCCCGAAGGCTTAAACGTGTCCACGGCCACGCTAAACTTCACCCTCTGCATTTTCTTTTTCTCCTCGAAATGCTGAAGAAGGAAAGCCAAGCTGAAAGCTGCTCCCTTCAGTCTGCATCCTACACCCTATCCTCTGGTTCCTGTTCCTGCTGCGCCCAGTCCAGACTAATAGATGCAGGGCTTCCGTTATTTCCTTCCAAAAATAGGGAAACCGGGACACGCAATCTGGTTGACCGTTCCACTATTGTTGTTGAAATTGATAAGGATTTTTTTTTCTGGAAAAAAAGAATAAAGAATAAAGTTTCTCCCCTGAACGACGTTCACGAGTCCTGGTTTTATGTCCTGACCTCGGCTGACACGCCGGAGTCATGTGTTAGCGGACTTATGTGGCGTTTGAAGTATTAACGGCCAGGCCAGCTTTTTCTGTGTTGTGTAATGTTCACTGCACATCCCCTCTCGCCCTCTGGCTCGAGCTGAGATGAAACACAAACCATGAGTACCTAGGCAAGCCTCTAGACTCAACCTCGGAGCCAGTAGTGAGAGCCGACTCGCAGAGCAAAACATTTGAGGACAAATCTCAGAGGATCGTGAGGGGCGTCTGGAAGAGTTTAACCTCCAACTGCTAAACAAGAGATTATGATTTTCATTTGGAGTCTCCGAAACACACAAGGATCTTTTCAGCAAAGGCTATATTTTTCCATATAATTGAAAACACCAAGTGTCAGTTAAATCGCCCTCTAGCACACACGTTAGGAACCTGAAAAGTATCAACTAGTTAAGGAGGAGTGGATAGAGTGCCTTTTGCATGTTCTGAAAGGTTTCTTTTTTTTGGGAACCTCACAAATACTTCATTAGTCTCCTCATAAGTCACATTTGACCATAGTGGCTTGAATACATCCACTCATCCACACAAATCTTTTTACACACATGCCGTTTTATTGAAGGCCTGCAGCTTATCTAAGGCAGTTACGCAATCCCGCCGGCCGTCTGCTTGATTGACACTTAATGAGAGGCGTGTGGCAAAGGAAATGACATAAAGTTATCCCTCCGGCTCTGTATCGCAGTGGGTGGCTGGCAATGATTGAAGTATGCGGAGGAGCACATTTATCCAATTGAAAAGAGCACATAACCGAACGGGGATCCTCTCTGCTGCCTGAGCTCATTCTGGTATTCATCACCTGGGTTTGCTTTCACTGAACATTAACAGGATTTGATCCTTTTGCTATAAAATGATTCCATCTGCCATCTCACTGATGATACATTTCAACAACGTATCCTGAATAAACGCCTTTTATAGATTACCTTCTTATGGAATCATCTAAACATCTGCTCTTATGCACAAACTTTGACCAGAGTTGAAGTATATTGCCTTTTTTTCCCCCCCAAAAAACGCAAACAGTGGCAGTATCTGCACATACTGTAAAAGTTATTAATCATATGACATTCAATGCAAACTTTGTAACAAATACCCACATTTTAATGCATCAAACCTGCAAGTTCAATAAGGTGAAGAGGATTTAATCAACCTAAACAGAAATGTATAGCCTTTGATAGGATAACCAGACACAATCTAAAGATTTTTCTCCCAACATGTGGCAGCAGGATGAGCAGATACTGGAGAGTCGAGAGTCCTGAATGAAGCTCTCTGTAAAATTCGGAGCCAAGTATAGTTTGGAATCGGTATATACCCCCGGGTCACGGCATACCTCTAACCTCCAGGAGGGGAACGCCGCGGCCAGTTGCATCCCGGCGAACAGCAGGCTGAGCAGCGCCGCGGCCGGCGGCAGGGGAGCGAGGCGCCCGCCGCACCTCCGAGAGCCTCCGGGCGTCCGGACGCTCGCCATGGCTGCCGCGTCACACCTCCGGGAAACTGCAAAGGGCGACCGATCTACCGAGAGACTGCTTCCCCCCCAACCCCCCCCCCCCCCCCCCACACACACACACACACACACCTCCTCGGGTCCCTACTAGAGGGCCATGGCGGGTGCGTCGGCCAGCTGTGCGGTGCGCTGCGGACCGGAGAGTGGGAGCTGTGCAAGACTTTGCGCGGCAGACTTTGCGCTGCTCTCTTGCGCACGGCGCGCCAGCCAACCAGTCAGCCAAAGTCAGTCAGCCAGCCAGCCAAAAGCCAGCCGGGCTGGCTTTTCACGTTCCTGCTGCTGGGGCAGGGGGTCAGTGTCGAGACGAGCTAATGAAAACCAAACGGCGCACTGTCCCTCCGCTCCACTTGTTGCAGCCCCGCAGTCAAAGCAGTTTAAAGCAGATTCAGATGGGTTATTCAGGACATGATTTTTTTTTTATGGTTTATATAATGGGGGTGTGAAAAAAAAAAGGAAAGAAAGAAGGGAAGAAAAAAAAAGGACTCTGAGACTGAGCAGAGGAGACTGTGACCTATCAAATGACCCAGATTTGAAACAATTTCATATGGGGCTGTTTTATTTATTTATTTATATGGGAAAGTTTATGAAAGCCTCCTTGACCCTTAGAGCAAGACTGACTTGAGCTTTGAGAGGAGCCACCTACAGTTTGCACGTTGGCAAAGTTGATTTAGTCCAGTGAGCTGTGCAACTGGAGTTCATGGGGTTCAGTTTGCTGCAGGATAATAAGGATGCTATCAAGAAAAAGAAAAAAGAATATGAAATCAAGTCATGTGGAACAGAACTCTTAATTTTAGTATTTCAAGTTTTATAATTCAGAAAATATGAAATCACTGGGTATTTCTCATAACATGTAATACCACGGATCAAGAAGGCAATCAGATTACATTCTTCTAAAACTAATATATTGTGGAAATGGAAGCCCCCCCCCCCTCCCCCAAAAAAGAGTACCAAATATGTGGGCATTATGAAGAGTGAAAGAGGCAATACCAAGGGCACTGAAACATAACCAGGGGAGAAGTACAGATAACAGAGCCACACAAGAATTTAATCAAATAGAAATAGATAAGTGGGAGCCGGACAGATTTCGAAGGTTGCAGGGCTTGTAAACAGAAGTTAGAGGAGGAATGTTAACATATGCCACTATTTTTAGTAAAGATGTAGCTGGGTGTACATAAAAGGATGTGAAAAATAACTTTGAACAGGATGGGCTGGAAATCCTCTCGCCCTTTGTAGCATTTCACACAACAGTCTCATGGTAGAAATTCACCTCAAAGTTGAATGTCAGCTGGCTCAAAAGAAGGTCTGTAAAGAAATCAAATGAGTTCACTAATTAATCGGAGGGAAAAGGCTCCTTAAACGTAGTTCACCGTAATGGTTCACTAGGCTTACCACAGAGGATAGAAAGAAATGCTGCTGCTTTAATTGAGCACTTTATGTGCAAAATTATGTGTGCGTTGTCTGTTTGTTGTTTCTGCTACGAGCACAAAAGGCTCAATTGTAAGAAAACAAAAACTTCTGGTAGGAGTCTTGAGAAATGCTCAATGCCAAGTAGAGGCCAGAGCTGAGTTCTGGAATCCACTGTAATGAAAAAGGACATTACAATGGCACAGAGAACTGAAATTTTCTTGCTCTTCAGTTAAAATCTTACTTCCTTTTTATTCTGATGATACACAATTAAGTCAGCACTTCAGCCAAACTATATAGAGAGGAAATGATAATCACTGAGCTATTTTTTACCGGCCGCGTTCTGACCTTTAATTATAACAAAAGTACAGATGTTTTAAACACGACTAAAGTCAGTTCCAGGGTTCTGTTTTTGCCATGACTTATGGCTTACAGGACACAGACAACTCACAAAGCTGTTTTTCAGGATATATTCTCCCTGTTTTTGCTCTACCTGTGTCAAGACAATGAATTAGTTTTTAAAATAATATCAGAATACTTCAGTACATTTTAGCTAGACCTTAGTCAAGGAAAGATATTTTTGTATTCTCCCTTCAATGATTTTAAGTGGAAACCTGAAACCTTTAGTTTCTTTCACTTCCACCACAAGAATGTCAGCTTTCACAGCTTTAGATAGTGGGTAGTAGGTTAAATATGTACAAGGGCATGAACAAAAAGTAAACACTTGGCATGTAGAAAAAGTAAATTCTTGATTTTTGGCACCAGTCAGGGAGTGAAAAACTGCCTCTGAGTTGAGAAATGTTATATACTTGTAATATGTGTTGGGCATTGGATTGTTAATATGTTTGATCATATCCACACCCCAATTAACATGATGAAATTCAGAGATGAGTTTTTGAAACACACTTCATATATTTCCACTTCTCTATTAAGGCTCAGTATTAATTCACCTAGTTGGTTTTAGAATTTGTGAATCAATAAAATATATCAAATATATGTTTGTTTTAATTTATACAACCAGTGCTCGGAATACAGACATGATTATGGCCGCAAAAAAAGTGAAGGCGGAACCATTTGTACGCTACAAGATTTCTACGACCTCCAATTGACGTTGCGCTTATGACGGAGGAAATGGCGCCCGTCAGGTGCAGCAGGGCTGTGAGTGGCCAGCCAGTCACGTACCCTCGAAGTTGACACGTAATCTCTCCATCTGCCTCTAGCAGCGCCGGGGTCAGCGTGCTCAGAAATATGTTTGTAAGTGTAGAAAAAAAGAGTTTGTGTCGAACAGTGGAGACGTAGCAGGTAAGAGCCGCAGATGTCAGACATTTCCTCGTCTCTGTCCCCGTGTGCTGATCATTAGCTCCGTGGCTAGCCTGTTAGCTTTAATCCCATAATCTGAGTAGTTAGCCTCAGGACGCCTATCGACTCGGGTGTCGGTGACGAGGGTGTCGATTTAACCTGAAAGTAGTTTAATTAACATTTTAGTTTTTTGGCATCGGGTCAAATGCTACGTGTACATTCAAAATGAACATTATGCCGGTAAACAGCCTCAAAACCACACACTTCAGTTCCGCTTTAGTATTTTACAGCACAAATGGTTTTATATGGCAGCAGCCGAGTTTTCCATCCGTATGCAAAATCAGTTTGTTTTTCAAATATGCCAACAACAGTGTGTTGAATTGTGTCTGATAGTTTGCATTTGTCAGGCTATTTAAGGAAGTAATCAACACCGTATTTACGTTGACAGTTTGCCGAGCGGACCTGTTGGTCGAAGGTCCAGAAGCTGGAGGACTCACTGGACTTGTCTGAATAAACCAAAGGACCGTTAGATAAAGAAGCCTCAGATTTTCACCAAGAGATAGAACAGGAGCAGAAAAAGACACAAAATAACAGTAAAATGGGACGAAAGCTTCCAAAAGACTACAGGGACACACCAAGTACATTTAAAAAACAATTCTAATAAATCTGAACTTTATTTGAGTAGAGAAATAAGAATCTTTGAACATAAACTGTTTCAGTTAACCTGTCCTGAACTCATTGATTTTTTTTTATTTTTTTATTTTTTTTACCACATAGGAACAGCAGAGTAGCATTCGGGCGTTTTGCTGAAGGAGCCGAGGAATGGCTAAAGAGCAGAGGCAAAGCGCGGCGGAAACCTTTGTGCTGGCGGGATCTAACGGACACAATGGCCAGCAGTGGCACGGTGGCGTGAGTAACTCCGCGCAGCACCACCATTCCTCCGCCGACCTGATGTCCGGGATGAGCCGGGTGGCCTGGGACGTCCGGCACAAGTGCGCGGCCTACGTGCTGGCCCTGAGGCCGTGGAGCTTCAGCGCCTCGCTGACGCCCGTGGCTCTGGGCAGCGCCCTGGCATACAAGCTGGAGGGCTCGGTGGACCTGGTGGTCCTGCTGGTGTGCGCGGTGGCCGTCCTGGTCGTCCACGGGGCGGGGAACCTCGTCAACACCTACTACGACTTCTCCAAAGGGATCGATCACAAGAAGAGCGACGACAGGACTCTGGTGGACGAAATTTTGGCGCCGCAGGACGTGGTCATGTTTGGCGCGCTGCTCTATTCTCTGGGGTGCTTGTGTGCCACCCTGCTGTACTTCCTGTCCACGCTTCGGCTGGAGCACCTGGCCCTCATTTACTTCGGGGGACTCTCCAGCTCTTTTTTATACACAGGAGGTAAGCCTAACGCCAACCGGAGCTCCTTGAATTGTGGCCTCGCAATGAATCAGTCGATCAAAACAACATAAATACGCACGTCTTAGTTGGCCTTTCCCTTCCTGATGGTACATGGTGGCAGAGAGAGCTGGTGTGACACAGTCATGGTTCCATCGGCTGTTTCCATCCGATTGCCATGCAAACGCTGGAAATGGCGCCGAAGGCTGTCGGCTGCATGGCGTCGGCACAGCGTGGTGACAAAAGGCCACGCTTTGCATGACTGTAAATAAAGAGAAAAAGCTCTGATTCTCTAGAGATGTTTAAGGCTCGGAGCCTTAGAAGCTGAGCCTTCTCTAAAAGTGGAAAGCCCTCCTTGTTAAGGTGAACAGTTGTGTGTTTGAAATGTTTGTCGCGTCCGAACATAAAATCTATTTCAGTCCGCCCATGTGAGTGATGCTGAGGATGTGTCATCTCTGGACCGTGAATATCTAAGAGATAAGATTCTATTTGCATTTCTATGTATAAAAAACAAACAAGCAGAACATTTGTTAATTATTATAAGGCTGAAGGCCCTCAAACGTTTTGTGGAGCCGTGCTAGCTGCCGGAGGGCTTCTTTAACCAAAGCAGCCTACTCTGAAAATGGATCTCAGGGCTTTTCGTTCCTGCTCGACCTCCTCTAGTTCCACACATGGAAATGAATAAGAGCTGCGCCGGCTGCCTTTCTACCTCTGTGTTTACATGCGTTTGCTCTCCTGCCCAGGCATCGGCTTCAAGTACGTGGCCCTGGGCGACGTGGTGATCCTCATCACCTTCGGCCCGCTGGCCGTCATGTTCGCCCACGCCGTGCAGGTGGGCTACCTGTCGGTGCTGCCGCTGGTCTACGCCGTCCCGCTGGCCCTCAACACGGAGGCCATCCTGCACAGCAACAACACGCGAGACATGGACTCGGACAGGCAGGCGGGCATCGTCACCCTGGCCATCCTCATAGGCCCCACGCTCTCCTACGTGCTCTACAACCTGCTGCTCTTCGCCCCCTACGTGCTCTTCTGCATCCTGGCCACGCGCTACACCATCAGCATGGCGCTGCCGCTGCTCACGCTGCCCATGGCCTTCCCCCTGGAAAAGCAGTTCAGGAGCCGCCGCTACGCCAAGATCCCGCAGAAAACGGCCAAGCTCAACCTCCTGATGGGACTCTTCTACGTGTTCGGGATCATCCTGGCGCCCCCCAGCAGCCTGCCATTACTGTGATTGACTAGATTTGATACTGTCAGATTTTCTTTTAATACAGACTAGTTTATGTACTTCTTTGTATTTGTACAAAGCTGTCGAAAGGCTCCTGTTGGCTTTAATTTATTTAATTTATAAGCTAAACATAAATAGCGTAGACGCCCCTCTCTGGCAAAAGAAGAGGGGTCTCTTTGCAGTATTAAGCCTTCTACAATGTGTTGGTAAACGGAGTGTCAGTGTCATTTTAAAGGGGGCAACGCTTTCTTCATTTAAAGACATTACCCTGCAGTTGCCATATTTGTAGTTCTTCAAGACATTACATAACACTGACTCCTAAAAGCGTCAATAAACCATTATTCTTCAAGCTGGGCTTTCTTTTTGTCTACATAAAGTTAATTTGGTCCTTGTGTTTTTAATTTTAAGAGCCAAATAGTATTTTATCTGAGTGTAATAAAACTCTCCAAAGCAGGGCGAAGGTTACATAAGTTCAAAGTCACACTTAAAAGGGATGTTAAAGTCTTTACATTTATGAAAATGCAAAGGTGTCAAATGTGAGAGGGTTTTAATGTATTAGTTGGAAATGTGACATCGTTTTAAACTGGGGAGTAAAAGACCTTTGTTCAGAGTTCTGCTGTGGGCGATGACTAAACATTTCCTTTCAGATGGTTTGTAGAAGGCTTGTTTTGTCTCATCTATGTACAATTAACACACAGGAATAATATTTTCTCTCTGCTGACCTTTTCTATGTCCTTGTCGAGCTGAATTTCTTCTCAGATAAAAATAATCTCAGTGGTTCAGAGACAAAAATAAATACAGCAGATTGAACAGCGGAGGCCGAGCCAGTCTTTCTTTCTGTTTCATTTGCTTCAATCTTCCAAGTGGCTTTTAGCAATAATTGGTTGCTTCTTTTGATGTTGTTTCCTTTCTGTCCAATCATTGCATTTGAACATTTTAATAGGTTTTTCCTATTAATTTAATCTTTAAAAAAAGAAAAGAAAAGCTTAAAACACAAAACATTTTAGGATAAAAAGTGTGTTTGCATGTAACACACGTGTCTGGTTATCAACAACCTGTTGCAAAGACATTATGTGTCTAAATTTCTTTGTATCTATATTCTCTGTATCTTTGTGGCACATCTCAGAGGGAAAGAGAGGAAAATGTATTAAGTGGAGACCAGAAGAAAAGTGTCTGAAGACTAAAAAGAGGATCTTTAGGACACAAGTCAGCGCTGCAGTAGGAACCTGATCAGGAAGGGTCTCCACGAAAAGGTTCCTGTCAAGAAGCCATTTTTAAGGAGGTGAAACAGGAAAAAAAAAAATTATGCTGAGTAAAAAAAGACCAAGAGTAAGTCTGTGGCAGCAGGTCTGATGGAGGAACAAATTCTCTAGTTTTGCTGCCAGTATTCCAAAAGAAAATTACTTTTATTTAATTTTATAAAGAAGTTTGTTGAAAATTGTATTGAAAATCACTTCAATAAAATGCTGTAAACATTTTCCCATTTTCCTGACAGTATTTATTGATCTAGAGAGGCACGAGATTTTAGCCATTACTGATAAAAACTTCCACCGTTCAGAATAATATTTTGACATGTTCACAGATAATGATTTACAAAACACAGGAAACAAGCTTACCACTTTACCATAAAGAAGGTGAATTTAGTGATGGAAAAAAAGAAGAATTGACAGGACTATCAGCAGATGGCAGTGTTGAACAGCTGATGGAACAGTGGACAGGCAGCTGTTACATGTTTGTTCAACCATTGTTAAATGTTCTGTGTGTTGGAACAGATTTCCCTGTTCAGCTCCTGGGCCTGATGTTTGAATAGATGTGCACAACATGCCTCTAAAGGTAAAAACTGTACGTCTTTTACATTTCATTTGTACCCTGACAAACCTGCCTCCTTAAATTATCCTCCCAAAAAAAGAAAAGAAAAAAAATAGGCAATTAATAAATGGCGGCACCCTAAAAGGCCAAACGATCAGGAGATATGAAATGAAATGATGGATTTTCATGGTAGGTACCTTGGTGTGTGTTTTTTGGTGCATTATTTTCAGTTTTTGTCTGACATCCTGCCTTTCGGTTTTGGTGACAGTGTTTGAGCGATTTTAGACTACAAACTGGGCAGCTGACCTCCTGCATGCAAGCCCCACGGAGGCAGGGAGGGCAACACCCACCCACCACCTGAAACAATGCCACGATTACAACTGCCGTCTTTTCTGTAATAAATGTACGTATTGCAGCCAATTTAAGGTCACGTGAAGCCAGAAAAATAAGTCACTGTGGAGCAGGAGAATGGAAAACAGAAAAACAAAGCCTTTTGTCTTTGCTGACCGGTGAACACCTCATAGCCACCACAAAATATTTACCCATGGCATTTGTGGAATATTCAACTTCCTTCCTTTTTTGTTTTTTTGGGCTTATTCGGCTGAAATAGTTCAATCGATTGCAACTATTTACATACATTTAATATTAAGTATTCCTCATTTATGACCCAGGGCTTTTTGCCATCACCATCAATAATTAATAATTAAAGAAATATATATATATATACACAAAGAAATATACACAAACTATTGCTTGATATGGTTGGGAGTCATGTATCTGTTTTGTCTAAAAGGGTTGCTTTCATATATGCATTAAACTTGGTAATGCATGTGTGTCATAAAGCATTAGAAACGTTAACCTGAATTTGAAACCAAGTCATGATTTGTTTGTTTATTACGAGGAGCACATGAAGGTAGCATTAGTAGTGACGTAACGCATGGGCGTGTTGTCATGGCTATGTTCAGCGAAACGTTTCAGTCAAGTAAATACTTATTTGTACTAAAACAAAACATGTCATCTTTGGTAGTTGACAGCGACATGGAATTCTACTGGACCTCAAAGTAGACATTCTTGACAGAGACCCGGTAAGTGGCTACACTGTGAAATAAGTTGTTTTTATACCAACACAGGTTGGCCAAATATTAGTTAGCTAGCTAGCGAACAGCGTTGGACAAGCTAGCGCTGCGTACAGTCCTGCCATCCATATAAAGCCATGCAGAATACTGTACACACATTTACCCAAAGGAGAGTCAGTGAATGTGTCAGCATGTGGCTGAATAATTATCCTATATCGTGGGTGTACCAATCAGCAGTTGTCCCCTGTTTGAAAAACGAAGGCGTGCATTTTAATTGTATTGTCAATAGCTCATAACCACAATAGCGATATATTGTCGGGGTCGGTAGGAAGCTGCTTGAACTGACCCCTAACGTCGGTTGTTAATTTTAGAAACGGACAACAACACTTTAAATAGAAATGCCATTTCAGTTCCAGCCGGTCTGACATCCGTCTGACAGCATGTCCGGTCTTATATATCTGTTGCTTTATTAGAAATAATGGCAAAGGTGTCACGTTGCCTTCCCCCTGACAAAAACCGGGCTGTGACAGTGGAGCTCAGTTGTCGGCTAACCTGCTTTACTGTCAACGCCGTATGTGGGTCTTCCATTGTTGTGCATCACCGGAACGAACACTCTCACGTCGCAAACAGACGCGTCAAGCGACAGGAGCACTTCACTGATGGGATTCATATGAGAAAAGAGCCAACTCGACTTGACAGGGTTTACTGTTGCTGTTTTAGAAGGACTGACACGTGCGAGGATTATATTCTTGTATGGTGGGTTAGGGAGCGAGCCCCGTGCAGCTGCAGGTTTATGGCTGCTGGTGATGAAGCCCAGCTGCAGCTGCTAATGGTCACAGTCCGGATTATCCCCAGGCACACTGCTTTGTTTCAAGTTTCAGTCATCTGCTGTGTTCACCAAATGACATTACAGTTGTCAAGCTTCTTTTTTTCCCCTCTCTCTCTCTCTCTCTCTCACCATGCAGTGATGTGAAGTATGTGCTCAGTTGATTTGAAAAAAAAAAAAAGACCAAAGGAATAAAAGGTGTCGCTCAGTTTGTGTGGTTGTTGGTTTTGAATATATTTTTCAAAGATAAATGCATGCCTGGCCTCCAGACTGGTGGATCATAGCAGCTATCGGGAAAGTTTTGACAAGGGGGGGGGGGACTTGGATGCGACAGACCTAAATCATTATTGTTGGATTTATGTTGCTGAAGGCAGAATTACACAAACATGTGTTACAAACATGTGCACTTAACTCTGATCTGCTTAATTTGGACATATACCGCCCCTGTTAGGACCTCTTTATCACTGAAAGGTTTGAAGGACAACTGAACGCAAGCAGACGTAACTGAAGTCTGAAAAGAAGAAAAACACACACCCACAGACAGACACACACTTTGGATCGAGGCTTAACGGGTTAACAGATGCTTCAATCTGCGGCCGCCTCAGGTAAAGGAGTTTCAGCAAGCTCTTGATTTTGACTGAATTAATGAGAGAGGGAAAACAGCTGGCAGTAGTTACTTTTTTCCATGGGCGGATGGGCTCACTTACTGTTTATAGACAGGAGAAGAAGCTGGGAGAAGAACTATTGCTCCTCAGTGTTGGCAGGGGCCTGATTTTTGAACATCTGATCAGGATATTGGGGCTGGTGGGACATACTGGTGTGACTCTGAACATGCAGCTACTGGGTGTCTAAGGATTTGTTTGCAGGCTCTTGATATTTTGGCAGAGAAACTGCTTCCTCTGCTCCTGTGATCTGTTGGAGAACTGCCAAGTGAACAACATAACGGGATGACATCTTTAATATAGATACATACATTTAAAAAAAAATCTTACCGCTCCAAATAACATTTAGTGCTGTGAAATACATTGATTTGTCATGTATCCAATGCAAGCGAAATATGCAACTTATCGGCATGTTAAGTGTCAGCAAACACAAACAACCTTGACCTTCTCAAAATGCCTGCTGATAAAACTGCGGAGAAGAGCACAAGCTAGAAAGAAATTGTTGGACCGACATTTTCCTGGTCAACTGGAAGACATTTTTAGCTCCAAAATACTCTGCTGTTAAGAGTCGAAATTAAAACCATAAACTTTATGAAAATATATGGTGCTAATGACACTAGTTTGTGTATGAGGACAAGATGCATTTCACAGATATTTTCCCATACATTCTGTAAAGCATAGGGAATGTTTTGGGGGTAAATGAGGGTGTGTTTTCATGGTGACAGATGATAATTCACAATGCCAGCAACTCACCAGCTCAGAACTGGTGAAAATATCGATCAGATTCAGTTTTAAACTGGTGGATTTGAGTTTGCAAGGCTAAATAAATTTCATCTCCCCTTTTTTCCAACACAACAGGACTCTAAATACACCTCACAGCTACATTCCAACATCCAAATTTAGATTTTTTCCTGGCTTAAATAAATCCCAACTAATATCTATCCTCCCACTGCGATGACTAAAGTCTGATCAGATATTTGTGTATTGGTGCTGCGTTTGTGTCTTTGGGAAGCGGAGTTGTGCAAATGAATGCCTCCTTTTGTATGATGAGGCTGACATGTCTGGTGCATGGACAGCAGAAGCATTGTTTACTAGACGGGAGAATGGTGCAATCAACTTCATTATAAGCTTGTGTCTGAACCACTTCCTGATCACTCATTCATTCATTGGCGCTTCATGCCCCGCCAATACCAGCCCAACGCCCATGTGTGCGTGCCAGTATCAGCAGAATGCTGCTTTTGGAACCATATTTTCGATGTCTCTCACAGCTGTGGCCACATTTAGGAGAATCGTCCAAGGCGAGGAGGGCACGCTCACAATCACGCCCTGATCTTTGTTTCCCGCGTGAGGCCGGAGGAGACTGAGGGCTGCCTCGCCAAGCGGTGGCCACGGCGACACAAACCAGCTCACGGCTGATGACCCAGGCAGGCGTCCATTCATCAAAATCATTTCCAACCCCACCCCCTTTTTAAAAAAAAAACCCAAAGTAAGCCCCCCTAGCCCAAAATAAAAAAAAGGAAAATAATATCCAGACCCTGCTCCCCCCCACCCCAAATATATGCCCCTCCCCCTCCCCCACTGTCCTCTGCCTGTCTGCTCATTGGCAGCAGGGCGAATGGTGTCCCCACGGGCTATGAAAGGAAGAGGGCTGCACATCCTTATGCGGGGCTCGATGCGCATGTGTTTGTGCATATTGCTCTTCAAGGCAGAGCGTCTGCTTCGCCCACTGAGAGCCCCCACTGATGGAACATAGCATGTAGCTTCAGAGGAAGCCTGCGAGGAGCAAAAATCCCCGGCTTGTTTTTACGCGAAAGCAGGGGGAACGGCGAGCTGAACGCAGCCCCTCTCCCCGGCCGCTCTCCTCCCTCTCTCCTCTCCTCTCCTCTCCTCCTCCGTCACCGTGGTAATCCTTGCTGACACAACGCACAAAGGACTAAACGCTGGCTGCATCCTCCAAGCAGTAAGGCTGTCTCCCCGCTTCCTCCCCTCAGCTGGGATCCTCCGCCGTCAGCCCGGTTGTCCATGCAGCAGGATGCCGTCTCAGTAAGACCACCGGCTGCCCTGCTCCTCTGCCCCCCCCCCCCCCCCCCCCCCCCCCGGG